CTATTAGCTCCTGCAACCTCTTGCAACAGACACCTTGCTGGGAAGGTACGATTACACCCACTAAGTTTGACCCAGTATTGTAACCCTAACTTAATGCGTCTTAACCATAAGGGCATTTCTCCCATTTCAATGAGTAGGGCAGGGACTGGGGAGGTTCTAAAGGCCCCACACCAAAGCCTCTAAGCCCTTGCCTGCACCACATCTAACCTATCCAGAACAGTTTTGGAAGCAGATCCATACACAAAGCTCCCATAATCTCGAGCAGATCTAATCATGGCCTGAAAAATTAGCAGCATCGTCTCCCTATTAGCCCCCCACTCACACCCAGCCAGACTTCTCATTACATTCAGAACTTTTTCACACTTCAACACAATTTTATCTACATGCACAGCCCAAGTCATACGCTCTTCAAACCAAACACCTAAAAATTTAAAAACCTTTACCTTCTCCAATGGAGACCCATACATATATAGCCCTAGTTTAGGTAACTTTCTTTTAAATCCAAATACTATATATTAGTCTTAGAAGCAGATATTTTAAAGCCCATGTATTCCCCCATTCCTCTACAGATACCAACACTCTTTGAATCTGTTTTAACACAAACTCTACATTACGCCCTCTTTTCCAAATGGCCCCGTCATCTGCAAATAAAGATAACCCGAATCCTCTTTCTACTTTACCAAAGATATCATTGATCATTATATTAAATAACACTGGACTAATTACACTTCCCTGTGGGGTTCCATTCTCTATGCCCACAGTCTTTGAATTAATACTACCAACCTTTACTTGTATTGTTCTTTTCATTAAAAAATCCTTTATCCAATTAAAATTCGTCCCCTAACTCCCAAGTCAAAAATTTTAATCATCAATCCCTCCTTCCACAAAGAATCATAAGCCTTCTCAATATCCAGGAATCCACTCACTACTATTTCCTTATTGCTAAATGCCCTTTTAATATCTTGATCTAAAACTGCAACTGATTCCATTGTAGACCTTCCATTCCTAAATCCATTCTGTACATCAACATAGTGTCCTCTTGTTTCTAAAAAAAATATACTAATCTGTTAGTTACCATCCTCTCCATAATCTTACAGATCACTGCTGTGAGCGCTATAGGACGGTATGATCCAGGGTCAGATGCCTCTTTCCCTGGTTTCAAGATAGGGACCACAACTGCATGTTTCCACTCCTTGGGCAAATAACCCTATGCCCACTCAGTATTAAACAAAGCTAAGATTTCTTCAAGTACAAACTCATCTAGATATTTAAACAACTCATAAGATAGCCTATCTCTCCCTGGGGTAGTATTTGCCCCAGACATAATTGCTTCCTTCAACTCTTTTAAAGAAAAAACGGATTAATAGGATTTTCATTTTCTAAACTCCTCTCCAGCTTCCACTGATTAACTTCAATCAATTCATTCCTCTTCCTACGCCTCTCAACCCCCATTATCTCTGATCTATGTACAGCTTGAAACCTCTCAACAAACATGTCTGCTTTCTCTTTATTGGAAACTGCTACCACCTCTCCCTTCTGTAACACTGGCATCAATCTTTTTTTATATACCCCTGACATTCTACGTACTACTGACCACAAATGCCTTACTGGAGTCTCAGGACCTAACGTACCACAAAACTTCCTCCAACTGTTTCTTTTTGCATCCTTTATAACTCGTCTTGCTACTGCCCTTAGACGCTTGTACTCCATTGCATTAACCAACATTGGATACTTTCTTAATCTTCTATATGCTTTATTCCTACTCCTTACAGCTTCATCACATTCTTTGTTCCACCAAGGAACCAGCATACGTGACCTAGGTTCCTGCTTCACAGGAATGGTATAGCAAGCAGCCTCATGCATCATGAGACTAATTGAAGTATTCCAGTTATCTACAGAACCCTCACTATCAACATCTCCTACTAAGCTTTGAGCTTCCTCCCGGTATTTATCCCACTTGGCCTGAGAAAAATTATATCTAGGGACACTCTTTTCCACTTCTCTTCTCAACTCTCTACCAAATCTGCATAAAATTGGATAATTGTCACTACCCAGTGTATAGGAATCTATAACATCCCATTCACAATTCTAGCTAAATTTGATGATGCAATTGATAAGTCTATATGGCTGCAGGTATTTCTCCCAATATTATACCTAGTCGGCCTTCCATCATTTAACACTACCAACTCATATTTGTCTAAAAAATCTTCTACTATAACACCATTTTTATCCCTGTGGTCACTCCCCCATATTGGATTGTGCACATTAAAATCCCCAATCCATATAACAGGACACCTTACCTTCTCCATTATCTCATCAAAGTCTAATAATACCAAAGTTTGACAAGGGTCACAGTAATAGAGCTGTGACTGCTCTAAACCTCCACAGCCAAACACTCAATATCAGAGTTAATGTCAACTTTTCTATATTGTACCCCAGTCTTAACAAAGGTTGCACAACCCCCGCCTGATCTATCAGGCCCATCTAATCTCAAACATTCATAACCTGGAATTACAAAATCTAGACAGGGCTTTAGCCATGTCTCTTGGATACATATCAAATCTGGTGCTTCTTTAAAATTATCTACAAACCTTTTTAACTCCTGACCATTTCCAATCAGACTCCGGGCATTCCATTGAAGAATATACCACATTAAAACATTAATGAGGGTCCTCATCATTCACCTCACTAACGTCCTCCATACTGCTAGTCTTCAACAACTGATCTGTCTATACACTGACTTTCCATCATGTATTGATGCAACTTTTCTGGCAACTGCTTTATACTCAGGTATCTTTCGGCTGCACCCACCACTAACCTAATGACATCTGACCGGTTAGTTGCTTTCTTAGCTCCCACCAACACATCAGAAACAAAAGACAAAAATGACTCCTTACTAAAAATTAGCATGTCAGATGAAGATGCAGGTGGTAGATTTGGCACAGAGACCTTGCATCCTAGCACCGGCCTTTCCCCAGGGCTTCCATTTCCGCTTTCTCTGGTCACTCTTTGAACCGCCTCTGCATATGTTACTTTGTTCTGATCCTTCACAACCTGCACCCGCCTAGCCTGGACAAAGTGCTCACAACCATAAAACCCTGCTGCATGATCCCCATCACAGTTAGGGCACTTAGGAGTCTCTGCCTTACAATTTTGTATGATATGATCTCCACCACACTTTGCACACAACACCAACTGATCTCCTCTCCTGTGTCGGCTTTGTGTATCTCCAAACCTTTTTCAAACGTATCAGCCAGTATTCCCCTGTCTGTGTTTGTCTGGGCGTGGCTACACTCTCTGGCTCCAGCGGCGCACCTGGTCCTCATTCCACTAATCAAGCTCCTGCAGTATTTCAACCCCAGTCCTCCTCACATTCTTCGCCAGATCGTCAGTTAACCACATGTGGTACATGCGTCAAGGCCAACTATCGTCTCCAGTAAGAGTCCTTGTAATTTCTGTCTCTCCCTGGATTAACCTGTTTTTCTCTGTGCCCAGGATCACACTACCTCCGGGAACCCTGCTGAACGCCACACCCCGCTCTGCTCACATCTTGCCTGGACTAACTCCCCTCCTCCGTGTTCTCCATTCTGCCCTGTTGGAACCTATCAATAAAACCCCTTTGTTACCCCTTCAAACTGTTCCGAGTCTGCCTTTGAGTCCTCAAGTTTTTGCATTATGACAGGAACACGTTCCTCAGTGAGGAAGATGAGAACATGTCCTGAAACTGTCCCCTGTTCACTTACCTGTCAGTCCAGTCTGATGAGCAGCATGAAGCAGCCCTTACCTCAACACACGGTTAAAGACGTAGAGAGCTACAACCAGCATCAACCATCCAGTATGCTAAAAAGGAAAACCCACTGTTCAGAGTGTGAAAGCTGTTAGATGACAGCCTCAAAGTGCTGCAGAGTTTGTTCATCTGTCAGTTACCAGATGGTGTCTGTGGTCCCCTGCAGCAGCTTCTTGTTTTACTGTCGGCTTCTCAAACTTCTGACAGATGAAAGCAAGTAGAGTTAATCATCATAACTGTGTTCACTGTACAGCTGATCAAGTCATTACTTTAAGCTTTTAGCAGTTTATCTTCCAGAAATGCAGTTTGTAGTTTTCAAAGTGTCCCCTGCAGAAAGCCAAGGTATTTAAAGAAGCAGTCTGACAGTTTGGGAAATCTGCTTGTTCTTGTTGGATCTCAGCTAATAATGAGCTAAAGGTTAAAAAGGGGAAACATACAGTAGACTTTACTAACTTCTACTGAAACATGTTGGTCTGATCTGTTGTGACTGTCCCTGTCACACTTTATCATTTCTGCCCCAAATTCTTATCTAAAAAAGTCTGAAAACTTCAGAAAGTGCAGGATGCCTCCCTGGTAACAGTGAGTTGCTCAAAGACAAACATTCACAGTTTGGTCTACAAACTGATTTTTATTGGATTTCCAGAAAAGTACAATTTCATAGAAACTGACATAAACTGTGGTTTAAGATTTTATCCAGATTGCCAAGCACACAACAGGTGCTGCAAAACAGCTGCTCTGAATCCCATCCTAAACAGCAGCATGCCTACCACTAAAACAGCAGAAATTACACTTAAAAAGTACAAAGTGCTAAAGACGTGTTGAGATGCTCTCCCTGTGTAAAACATCCAAACAACAGTCCAAATAAAGATTTAGGAAGAAGACAGCGAGGCGGCTAGAATGAGCTCAGTTCATCTAAAATATCTGCTTTGCTTCTGGGATTAAAGGAGAATAATGACAGACATCAACTTCCAGCTCCAAACTAATAAAACACATTTTATTTCCATGTGTTGAAGCCATCACAGTGAACCAGAGCAAGTTGACCAAAACATTTCCCAGCAGCCACTTCTCCCACAGCAGAGTCCAAACAGTGCTTCCTGCTCTCTACAGTTAGGTGTCTTATTGGAAATGGTCTCAGTAGATGACAGGATCTGTCTCGTCTCTATCCTTTCTATTGGCCTCCATTTCTCCTCCTGTTTCCTCCCCTTTCTCTCTCTCCCTCTTTCTCTGCATACATGAAGCTGACTGTGGAAATGTTGTCATCATTCATACTGATGGACTGCTGATATCATTGCTGTCCATTCTGCAGCAACACACAGAGGCCAAAAGCTTGTCTATGAACCCTTTCCTCATGAACACATACAGGAACAAGTCTGCAAGAGGATTCAACCTGATGAAGATGAGATACAGGAGTTCTAGGGTCCTGTGATATCCTCCCAATAACAAAATGATCGTGGGCAGGAACAGCAGAGTGTAAATAAGCAGCACCAGAACCAAAATTCCCACAATTCGTCGTTTTTCATCAGAGGGGACCGAGATGGAAGCAGACAGGGCTTTGAGGGTCCCAACCAGGGAGAATATTAACAGAGGGAAGGGAAGGAGGAGGAGGACGAGGAGGACAGTGAAGAGTGTGTGTAGATTCACACCATAAAGCCAACAAATGAACAAAAAGAGAAGTGGCAGGACCCAGACCAGGACACTGACCACCACAGAGGTCTTGATGGTTCGTCTGAAGCGGTACCACAGTGGGTGGGCGATGACCAAATACCTGTAATACAAGATGGACACAAAGTCTTTGAGGAGCTTCAGAGTTATAAACTAACATAATGTTCAGACACAGAAGGAGCTCCACACATACTGGATAGACAGATAGATACCTTTCCAGGGAGATGCAGACCATGAAGCAAATACTGGCAAACAGAGCAGAGAAGTGAATATATAAGAAGATGTCAGATATCTGTCCACGAATATTTGGTGCCACCCAAACGATCATGCAGCAGAACTGAAGGATGTCAGAAATGAGAAGGTTGATGAGTAGATGGGAGCAACTTGATCTCTTCTCACCTGCAGGAAAACATTGGTAAAAGTCAACAAGCCGTTGGAAACATGTTGTGAAGTCCACCTCCTCCCAAATCTGTCATCTTGCTCTGCCCAGCAGCTGCACTCAGAGCCATTTCTGACTTTTTCATCCAACAGAATCTCAGATATGACCCACTGGCCAATCACTGCAGTAACAAGACTAAGGGCCAGATTTCCTGCAGCTTCTGCAGCAGTTTTTCAGCCACAGATATGAAGCATTCTGGCTCAAACACATGAGCTGGATTTATCCAGACCGGAGTCGCAGTTTGAGGCTCATGTTTGTGTTTGCAAGGTGAGCCTCTCCTACTTGAATCAGCATTTCAGGGAGGATGGCACAAATAAGAACTGGAGGCAAAGAACTTGCCTCCAAGTTATGTCTGCGTAACGCACGTGTCAGGTCTCTCCGCCGTGGCTGCCTGAAGCTTCACTTTCCCTGTCCTCGTGACTGTAACTTCCACTAACCACAAGAAAACAAAAAGGGGAAAAGAGCACGAGTGTTACTTTGTGGCTGTAACAACGCTGTTGACACAATGTCCAGATAACCTGCAAGCCCTGCTGGAGCAGGAGAACCCTACAACGATCAGTATTTAATGTTTAATTAGACTATAATCAAAACTCATGTTAGGTCTAATTTTTGGGACAAACAGGAAAGGGGTCGGGACAACTGCTCGTAATTCGGGACTGTCCCGGATTTTTCAGGACATCTGATCACTCTATTTAAGAGCTGTGAGAATCGCTGGGGTGTGTGTCGCATTGAACATTATGCCGCGGCAGTTGTGTGTGGCGTCGCTATGACGACCTGCTACGTACTATCTCTGGGTACTACCTGCAATGGAAAACGGAGCAGGGCCGAGTAGAGTCATGTCTATCGATTTGCAATATGGTAGCATTTTTCGGCAGGGCAGCATAGATCGAAACACCGGCAACAGTTCAATGTTTAGTCCTGATGGTAAGATGTGGAACAATGATGTTGTGTGGTTGTGGATGTAAGGCAGCTGCCTGTGTAAGCCCCTCGGTTTCCTGTTGCGCTGTCTATTCCCCAGTATGTCCAGCAGTTCGTGCAGTTTGTACCTTGCAGGACACCGTAGTTTTAAAGTACGTTAAAGCGGGGCCGCACCAGTCATCCACTTAAATTGTGCGTTGATACTGTTTGTTTACATTCTAAACTATATTTATGCCATTTGTGAGACTTGGTAAATGCTGCTAGTCTAAAGTTAACTCGGCATGTGTTTCTTGCTGTTGGTGTCTCTTGGTTAACCTGACTAGTGTGCTGTAAGCCATTAGGTGATTTAATCTCAGTAAAATAAATGTACGATGGGGCATTTGCTGTTTTCGGTACCTTGCATTTAGAGTTTGTTTTTTATATTAAGCTCTTTTTAGAGATGTATTCCATTTGACTGTACATTAACCTTCATTTAATTTATTTTTATTTTTGGTACTAAAATATTATTTAAGTAAGAGATTGATTTATTTTTGCAACAATATAAATGCCTTATGTTTACTTTTCGTGCCCTGTTAGGTATTGGCTGTGTATCAGAGAGGATTGTTGGAGCAATAAAGAGCAGTGAAGGTCTCAACCACAATCCCGAATCCAGCCTCTGGTGCCTCCTTCCATCCATACGACACCACACAACACCTACCAAAACACAATGCAGAGCCAAGGGGAGGCGTAGAGAGGCTGTGACAGTCTGCACTGACTCAGATCCTGTGGGTTACATGGACTTGTGAGTAACTTCTACCATCTGCTAGCTTACGGTCTCAGTCTGAAGCGCCTTTGATTTGGATCACACTACCTTGTTTCTTACGACCCGCCCTTCTCTGCTTGTGATTGGCTAGTAGTCCTTACCTAGGAACTGCGCATGTGCAACTACCAACAAAGATTTTCTACAAGTAAGATGCATCACTCTGTAGCTCAAGAGCAGAGCGTACAGCACACAGGGTGAAAAGAGGAGAAAATATGGTGGTTTTTGAAAATTAAACCATGTAAACCTGTTCTGGTACAACCCCTAAATAAGATTTTGAACCTGAAAATGAGCAGAATACCACCTCTTTAACCTCAACAGTTTAAGAGAGGGCTGGAATGGAGCCACACATGGAAACTGCATGTGTTTAGGGTCCAATCAGCTTCATGGACATTTGAATTCTGGAGTCAATTATTCCTGTCAGGTTATAGATCATTCCAAGCCTTTGTCCCAGCCCCCAAACCAGATCCAGATCCTTTACAGACAGACAGACTGTAGGACAGACACACCACACAGACAGGAAATAAATAACTCTCAGTCAGAATGTACATACCATAGAATAAAGAGCATAGATGGCCACCAGGGTCAGAGGAAGGCCGACAGCAACGATTATGCATGTCACCACACGTACAGGGTCAATGTGGTATTTGGAGGTGGTGCTGCTGTAACCGTAGCTTTGGTCCTGTGAGCTGCTGGTAATGTAGTAATCTTCCATTCTTCAGAGTGAAACGTGTTGTTTGAGAGATCAGGTTATTAAAGAGCAGGTTTTTAATTATTATTAATTATTAATCATTATTCTTTCTTTACCTAATTTTATTTAAATTCAATTTTATTTATATAGCGCCAAATCACATCAACAGTTATCTCAGAGCGCTTTTCATAAAAGAGCAGGTCTAGACTGTACTCTATGATGATATTTACAGAAGCCCAACAGTTCCCACCGAATGAATTTAAAATACTAGTAATAGTATTTTAGAGAGTAAAAAGCCCAAAGGAAATCAACCCTAACTGGTTTAACCTCAGTATTCTGTCCACCTACAGTCCAAAGCTGTCTGCTTGTTCATTTATCTGTTTAATTCGTTCTACATAAAAGAAAAAAGGAATCTGACTAAATGTACCCGGAAAATCTGCCAGACCACCTGAATGAGTTCCTCCTCCAGAGTCCGATGTTTTGTCCTCTGCAGCCAAACCTCAAACATGGCCAGTGACAACATGCAGCAGGGTGACGATGATATATTGCTGCTCTTCTGAGACAAGGGAGTGTCTTATCCATACATTCTCTCATGAGAGGCTCCTTCCTTTGGCATCTGTAACTGCCAAATCTGGGCAAGTTGGGTCAAGTCAACATACTAGGTGTGTTTCATAATATCTCACATCAACACAGAACGAACCACATTTTAAACATCCAACATTGATCAATACCCAAGATATCTCCAAACACAGGACATCAAAATGTGCGATTCAAAGTAGGAGTAGAATATGTGATACATCTAATTAATGATACAAGTATAACTTCTTTGAATGTAGCTTAAGGACTCACATGTACAGGCTTGCCTGCCAAAGCAACAGGCTGATAATAATCTCTATCTGCTCTGAGATGTGATTGGGCCAGCCCAGTGTCAGTATAGAAAATTACCAAATGGGCCGTGTCCATGCTTTTACGACAAAGAGAAAAATACACTGCTACAGACTACCAAGGGGTAGTCTGATGGTGTAGAGATTTAAAAAGAGGACAAGGGAGAGGATGAGCTTTCTGCGGAAGAGGACACACAGAAAACTGATGAAAAGGAAGCAGTAGAGATCTACATTCACACACGAGATGTATTTAAGCGCATGCCTGAACACAATCAGCGTGGCAGAGAAAGAGATTCCTTTTAAACTCAGGTTCAACAGAATGAGTCATCGTACTCTAACACTAAGCAGAATATTGGTGCTTTAAACTCGTCTTCAGGACTTTAGGTGTTGTTTTAGATTCAGTGATTTTCTTTGAGTTTCACTCTAAACGATTAGTTAGTTAACTTGGAATATATCCTGGTGTCAGAGGCCGAACTGGAGACGATCATTCATGCCTTTAGATTACTGTAACAGACATTTAACTTGTTTGAATAATGTGACAGCAATTCTTGTTTTCAACACCTGAGGCAAGCATACCAAAAAAAAAAAATCTGTAAATCCGTGTGTGGCTCGCTCTTCATTATTCAGTTTTGTAATGGAAATTTCATGATAACCATCTATAAAACGCTGCCATGTAACTAATCTCACTAGGGGCCTCCAGCCTCTTGGGTATGGGGTCAATGGAAGGTAAATGTGTGTGATACTTTAACATATGTCCAGAGGGGTCAGGACTTTAAGGGGTTCACCACATGTACCTTGGACACGGGTGACTTTCTATAGATCCAGATTGAGAGTCCCCAAGGGAACACTGAAAGACACCATGTTCCTCTATTATAGCACTCTGACCCTGAGACAAAGATAAAAGCTGCATGAGCGGTTACACTGCAGCTCACTCGGATGATACTCTCTGATGTGTATGTGTCCCCGTGAGTTCCTTCTGCAGAAGACTTGAATAAAATTCACAGAAAGAAAAGTGTTTGCCTGAGCTGTTTATTCAAACACACTTTTCCCACCACAATTTTGGCGTTGTCGGCTCGTCACACGCGTGAGACGACTTGGACACTCGGAGCTGCAGGTGAAAAACCGTACGGCCGGAGTCTGAGAATCTGGGACTTCAAACCTCCCCTCCAAAATACAGGTGAGACGTTGAGGGCCTGACGCCTGAGTTTCTGAGGCTCCCTCACCGCTGTGATCCAAAAAGAACCTGGTGGCTGGCAACACTCTCTTTTTGGTGAGTAGACTGTTCAAGTGGAACGAGATTTAGAGATTTAGGACCCTGGGTGAGAACGTGCTGTGAGGCCGGTGGGTGGGGAAAGACATCAGATCAAAATGTTGACTTTCAAAGTCTACAGGTACATTGTAAAATATTTTCTTTGTAGTGAATGAGGTAAGAACTGTTCCAGAAACAGATTTTCTGATATCAAATTTGATAACCATGAGAAAGCCCTCTAAGAGATTTAAAAAAAAGTCATGACAAACAAATCTTTGTGAAAGATGTCTCTAGATATAACACCTTCCTGATGATGACCATGAAGCTAGCAGATCCAACCTGCAGTCTGTTTCTGAATAATATTGTTGATTGTTGTGATCACTGCAAAAGGGAAAAAGAAGAGCCCTCTCACCCCAAAGCACATTGAAGCATTTTAGACCATCCTAAAATGAGAGGCAAAGAAACAGGTAAATTAACTTTTTATGGATGACAGTGTTCACATTAAGGCACCATCGGCAGAAACCGCACATGGGGAAGGCCTGAGATTTTTTGTTGATTTAAAACTGGCTCTTCAGTCTCCACCGACCCTGGGTCTCCCCGACTGTAACAAACCTTTCACACAGACTGTTGACAAAAAGGGAGGGTACATGACCTCAGTACTACTACAAGACCATGGGGGACGATTGAGACCTGTAGCTTATTTTTCATCCAAACTGGACTTTGTTGCAGCAGGACTGCCAAACTGCCTGAGAGCTGTGGCAGCTGCTGGAAAAGCAGCCATAGCATCACCTGACATTGTGGGTTATTCAGAGTGGACACAAAATCAATAAACAATTTCACATGTTTTTGAAGTGTTCAAAAGCAAGTTATTTTCCTTGCTCCATTGAACAACATTCTCCACCTCCTGGCGATAATGAGATTCATCGTTTGAACTAATCAGCCCAATGATAGTTGTGTCATCGGCATATTTGATCATCACATTATTAGCATTGGATACTTCAAGGTCATGAGTATACAATGTGAACAATAGGGGACTCAAGATACACCCCTGCGGTGAACCAATGCTAACATAACTCATCTGAAATACAACCATTAACTTTGACCCTTTGGTCGACAAGTGAGAAAATTAAAAATCCATTTACAAATGGCATCATCGAGTCCAAGATATTTCAATTTATGAGAGAGCTTTGTTGGGACCATTGAATTAAAAGCCGAACTGTAGTCTAGAAATAGCATTCTAGCATATGAAAAGGAAATAGCATCTTCAACACTTCTTTTTTTCCCATATGCAAATTGTAGTGGGTCCACAGACACAGGGATTTGATCTTTAATAAAGTCCAACACCAACCTTTGGCACTGGAATTATGATTGATCTTTTAAAGCTAACTGGAACAGTGCACCTCGCAAGTGACAAGTTGAAAAGATCAGTCAGAACAGGACTAAGTTGCTCAGAGCACAGTTTAAGGACACGAGGAGGAACACAGTCCGGTCCAGGTGCCTTCTTGACCTTCATCCTGGACAAAATCCTCTGAACGTCCTCCTGAATGATGGTAAAACTCTGCTCATTACAGGCAGGAAAAACAACAGGTTCAACATTTCCAATTTCAAAACGACAATAAAACTTCAGTTTAATTTGTTTGGCAAGGATAGGTCATTAGTAATGAGTCCTCCTTTAGGTTTCCAAGCGATGATAGAATTTAATCCTTGCCACATACATCGTGGGTCCGCCTCCATGAAATGTCCTTCTATCTTAGCTCCATAGGCTCGTTTAGCAGCTTTAATTGCTCGCTCCAAAGAATATCTGGACAACTTGTAAGCAGCAGCGTTACCTGATTTAAAAGCCACGGCCCGCTGTTGCATTTTCCTATTCACATCACCATTGTAGCACGGGTTCTGACTAGCATACCGTTTTCTGACCTTTTTTGGAACACAACAATCAATACAAAAGTCAATGTACCCAGTCACTGCATCACAATACTCATCCAGATTATCTGAATGGAACACAGACCAGTCAGTAGCATCAAAGCATCCTTGTAGTTTCTCTTCACTCTCCTTCGTCCAGCACAGAACAATCCATGACGAGGGTTTTGACTGTTTATTTCTCTGTATATATGTAGGAAGAAGTAACACAGAGGAGTGATCTGATTTTCCAAAAACTGGTCTGAGACTAGATTGATAAGCAGATTTTGCATTGCTGTAACAGTGATCCAGGACATGTGCTCTCCTAGTTGGATGTTTAACATGCTGATAGTAGTTGGGAGAAACAGTTTTAAAATTACTCTTATTAAAGTCACCAGTTACTATAACCACAGCATTGATATGTGAGTTCTCAAATTTGTGTACAATGTCACTTAATTCCCTCAAGGCAACAGAAATGTCTGCCCGTGGATGTATATAAACACCACACAGGAATATAACCAAAAACTCCCGTGGCTAAATGGACATTTTACTCTGCCCGGTAAAACAAATAAACATATTAATCAGCAACACAACAAATTCTGGAGATTCTTAAACAATACAGTAAGGTAACACAAAGAGAAAGGAACAGCGCGTCAGCCAGGTGTCACGGTTTGGTGTGGGTGAGGCCGGTTGGAGGACCCAAACGCAGGACGCAAGGCAGGAAGAGGTACAGTACAAAGGGTTTTAATAAACAAACAAAGGCGAGCACACTTACAAACTGACAAGACAGAAACACCAGGTATATATACACAGGTACTCACGAGCAGGGCGTGAGCAACACAGGTGAAAGACATGAGACTAACGAGGCAGGCAGAGAGAGAGACAGTGAGCAGAGGGAAACAGAGAGACTGACATGCAGGCCGAGTGACAACCGGGGGAACAGACGGAACACAGGTCACTGAACACAAAACAGACCAGAGTGAACACTTAACATGAACTAAGGTACAGGACTGGGAACAAGGACAACGAACTAAAACGCAGGAACAAGAGTTAAGGCAGTGACTAAGAAACAATATAACAAGTAGAGTACCAAACCAAAGCAATATCAAAACAACACAGGACTACGAGCTAGAACACCAGACAAGACATAAACACTAAGGACAAGGAAACGAGAAGAACAGGTAAACAGAAGGACACCAGAAACAAATGGTAAAAACTCAAACTCACAGGGAAAGACTACAACTCATGACACCAGTGCACTCCTGGGCGAAATCACCTCAGTAGCCTTCAGTATTAGACTGAGCTACTACATTAAGTCAAAAACCCAGCTCATTTGGAACTTCGCTTGAACCGGACCGTGTGGGACGCAACGAGATGGCATAGGAGGACGAGCTGCCTTGTTGGCCTTTGGATTAAAGCTACACTGGCAGATGCAGTCAGCTGTTGGTGAAAGGACAAGCAGGAGCTACGACGCTAAAGCCGGCTGTCGGGCAGCGGATCACCGGAGCATCGCAAGGCGCCCAACGCAAGAGGTATTTGTAGCGCTACACTTCTTGGCCATTTAAATTGTGTGCACACATAAAGGGGGCATAAACCCAATGCATTGGTTGCCAGATAAGGCGGACAATAGACTTCTCACTGACTGTTATGGCGAACTTTGAGTGACTGACTTTTTATCATGGAGACGCGCGACACAGCATCGGACACTAGCGGGACTGGTGTGCTTAAAGTTACAGCTGGTAAACCCAGTAGTGTGACTAGAGGTGTTCAAGCAC